CTAAGTTCTTTCCATTGTCAGTATGAAAAATTTAAAAATGAATCTGGTTTGCATATAGGAAAACAAACCAACCAATCAATAAGAGCCTGAGAAAAACTCTTTGTGCCTAATACCTTGTCTCTACTTAGCATGCTTTCCTTAAGATTTATATCTAGAAGTGAAATTACCAGGCAAAAGGGAATAACATTTCCTCAAATTTCTTTCCAAACATATATAAATTTATTCTGCAGCAGGCTATGTGTGAGGGTCTCTATTTCATCCATCCTTGCCAGGCTCTGCTTATACATTTCTTTTTCTCCCTAATTTCACAGGTCAATTATCAAATCATTTTCCTTGATTCCTAGAGAAGCTGAATATATTCATAAATGGCAGCATATTAATTGTATTTTTTCTGTGAATTTCTTATCATGTCCTTTGATCATTCATGTATTTGATACTTTTTACTTCTCTTATCTGTTTTATAGCTCTTTATTTACTAAGAAATTTAACTCTCATATTTGCTGTAAATATGTTTCTGTTTTGGATATTTATTTTCAATGTTTTACCCATAGATTTTAATTTTTTTATGTAATTGAAACTATTTTTAGTTTTCTTTGTAATTTATTAAGTTTTAGCTTAAAATTACTTACTTCTCATTACCTGTCTGCCCTTCCCTCAACACTCCCCTAAAACATTTAATAAGATGAACTTCTATTTTATTTTTTAAGATTTTATGTTTAGTATTTTTTTACATATAACTCTTTAACATGTATGAGGTTTATGCTGGTATATGAAGTAAGAATCTGTATTTTTTCCCCAAAATTTCTACTCAAATGAACCCAAACCATTTCTAGAACATTCTTTCTCTTATCTATTGATTTTTAATTTTTCATTAATCATCTTTTCAATTATCAAATATGTTGGGATTTATTTTTGGGCAATCTATTATGTTCCATTATGTGTAGCCTTTTTTGTACCAATAGTATTTAATACATTTAAACTTTATAATATGTTTAGGACTTCTGATAAAGTTTATACTTATTTTACAGAGTTTTCATAAAGCTCCCTATAATTTTGAACTGGACTAAATCTGTGTATTTATGGGAGATGGGAGAGTTGCCATACTTAAAAATTTTGTCTTTTCTTCCAGAACACAAAAAGTCTTCTGGGTTATATGTCTGTTAATATTGTTCCTGAATTTTTGCTATTTATTTTTTGTGTATACTATTAATATAGTTTCTTTTTCCATTCTATGTTAAATCTTTACTTCAGTTCTATAAAAATACTATAAAATTTATGTATTTATTTTGAATTGACCACTGAGTTAAAAAAAATACCAGTTTTTTTCTATTCTCTCATTCAACAACAATCAACACAGAAGACTCTGTGACTAATATGTGAGAGTTTCACCCCACCACCAAGGAAAACATCAGTTCTGCAGTGGACACCAGCTCAGTGTTGTCTAATTCAATTCTGACACTATCTACCTGCAGATAGTATGAGATTCCATGGGTCGAGGGCTCAATCCCCCAAGATTTCCCTCTACTTCTAGAACCAGTTACAGGCCCCAGGTTGTTTTACCTGTGCTTCTGACTGACCTGCTATAAACTGGGGTTTCCACAACCTTCTCCTTGGGTTTGGTGATTTATTAGAGTGCAGCTTACAGAACTAAGGGAAAGACTTATTTATGGTTACTGGTTGATTACAATAGTATACAGATGAAAAGATGCATAGGGTGAGGTATGGAAGTATCCTGAGTGCAAGAGCTGCCCCCATGAAGATGGAGTGCACCACCCTCCAGGAACCTCCACACACTCTGTCCAGAAGCTCCCTAAACCCATTGTTTTTGATCTTTAATGGAAGCCTTATTACAGAGACATGATTGATTAAATCATTGCCCATTCATAATCAATCCAAACTTCAGATCCTTTCTTCCTTGGAGGTTGGGGGTGTGACTGGAAGTTTAGCACCCATCCTGAAGCTACTTAGATTCTGCTGTCTTCCAGGCAAACCATTAGCATACAAAAAGACACATCACTTTAAGGATTCCAAATAGGAGTTGGATGCCTGGAGACTGAACAAAGACCAAATATATATTTCATAATATCACAACCCCACTTCACAAATTTAATTTTAAAAGTTGCTTCTAATGATTCCTCTTTCTGATATGTGATCTTATCATGTAATAATAATTTTGTCTCTCTATACCAATATTTTTTATTTTTTTGGCATCTAATAGCATTTTTCAAAACTTTTATGTTAGAAACAATAGTAGTCAGCATTACTTTGTGATTTAAATAAAATGACTATATTAGTTTGTTTTAATGCTGTGGGAAATTTACAAAGGAAAGAGGTTTAATGGAGAATTCACAGTTCCACGTGGCTGGAACACAAGCAGGGTGGAAGGCAGGGAGCAGCAAGTCACATCTTAAGTGGATGGTGGCAGGCAAAGAAAGAGCTTGTGCAGGCAAACTCCCATTTTTAAAGTCATCAGATGTTGTGAGACTTATTCACTCTGAGAACAGCACAGGAAAGACCTGCCCCCTTAATTTAGTCATCTCCCTCTGGGTTCCTCCCACAACAGGTGGGAATTATAGGAGCTACAAGATGTGATTTGGGTGGTGACAGAGTCAAACCATATCAATGGCTCTAAATGTTTGCTATTAATATTTTATTGATTACTGGTTTGATTTAAAAATTGCCTATTACTTGAGACAATGTTAATCTATTTTAATTTCTTTAAACATTTTGAATTATAGATAGATTTGGAGATATTTATTAAAATAGTTTTTCTGAATACCAAATCTTTTTCATAAATCTTTTGAAATGAACTTATTTAAAAAATTCAGCCTACTCATATAGAGTATTTTGTCATATACCCTAATTTTCAACCTCTTGAATGTCTAAAATATTTCTTAGTCATGACAGATTATACTTTTAACATTTTACTTAGTTTTTCCATGTTTACTTATTTCAGTGTAGTCATATCTATTTTACACATTTATTTCTATCTGTTTTCCTTAGGATTGTTGATTCTAACAGCTTGAGTTAATGCTTATTTTGTCTTTCTCTCTTTTGAGATAAAAGATTGCATTTGTATTTTAATTGTTGTTTAAGTAGAATACTATTTTATTTTTACTTCTTACTTGAATCAATAATTGTCTTTTCTGTAGTTGTGATAAACATTTTTATTATTGGTTCGAATTTTTATTTATAATTTCCATTATTTCTTGTGGTTAGAAACTACGTTAGTTACACTAATTAAAAAAAAGAAAGTATCAAAATAAACACAATCATAAATGACAAAGGGGAAATTATCACCAACCTCACAGAAATACGAAAAAGCCCACAGAGGCTATTATGAGCACCTCTATGCATGCAAACTAGAACACCTAGCAGAAATGGATACACTGGATAAACTCCTAGAAATATACAACCTCCCTAGATTGAACCAGGAAGAAATGGAAACCCTGAACTAACCAATAACGAGTCCCCAAATTGAATCAGTAATAAAGAACCTATCAATCAACCAGAAAAAGTACTGAACTGGATAGATTTACAGCCAAATTAAACCACATGTTAAAGAAGAGCTGATGCCAATAGGAAATACTATTCTGAACATAGATCCTGGCAAAGACTTCGTGATGAGGACTGTAAAAGCAGTTTCAACAACACGAAATATTGAGAAGTGAGATCTAATTAAAATAAAGAACTTCTGCACAGCAAAAGAAACTATCAACAGGATGAACCAACAACTTACAGAATGGAAGAATATATTTGCAAACTATGCAACCAACAAAGGTTTAATATTCAGAATTTATAAGAAACTTAAATTAACAGGCAAAAATCAAACAACCCTATTAAAAATGGGCAAAGAACATGAACAAATACTTTTCAAAAGGAGATATATGCAACCCACAAGCATATAAAATAATTCCCAACATTACTAATCACTAGAGAAATGCAAACTGAAACCACAATGAGATATTATCTCACACCAGTCAGAATGGCTATTATTAAAAAGTCAAAAAAAATAGATGCTGGTGAGGTTGCAGAGAAGAATCCTTCTTCTGTCTTAGATGGGGTGTCCTCTGATTTTTCAATGAGAGTATAACAGGCAATCTATTTTCAGTTTCTTTATTCCTACGTAAACCTATTTGCTCCCCTGAACTTGTGCCACATAATTTATTCATCTGCGTCGTGTCAACAATTTCTGTTTATCACTAAGTAATTAGAAGAATTAGGCTGTGCAGATGGCTCATGTTCTCTTATTGTCCATGAGATTGCTAGTGGGAATGAAAAACTTTCAACATTTTTATCAGCCATTTTATATTGTTTGTGTTGATTATTCTAAATCTGTTCAGCATTTTTTATCTCTATGGTTATTATTCATTATTGCTTATCTGGAGCTCTTTATATATTAAGAGGGAAAAATTATCTTTTCAAAATATTGTCATTAAATGTGATTAAATTATTTCTACTGTTCAGAATCCCTTCTCAATTTGCAATTTTGCATTTAGATGTCTACCATCACCAAAAAAACTGTTCTAAGAACAGACAGCTTATTTGGGACAGTGGCATTTCATTTTGTTCTGGTAATATGAGGGCTGTATTTTTCTTTTACTTTTTTTCTAAAAATGCCTGGGTATATGCAAATGTAATCAGAAGGGCTGAGTACTAAAACCATCAGCATAGTTTTCTTATTACTTGATTCTGCACACCATTATAATTTTTTTTAAAGAAACACATTGAGCTCCAAAATGAAATTTTAAGCTGTGGAATTCTTCCCAATAGCTTTGTTATTTAGAATAGCAATGCTTAGAAAATAACATGCAATGAATAATCATAAAAATTATATTCTAGTTTTTATACTGTTTCTACTTTTCTTTTAAAATTGTCTCTTGCTGATTGCATATATCCACTTATTAGAATGATAACCAAGAAAATAATCCTATAAAATGAACTGGTGAAATCAAGATAATGTAGAATACACTAATATTCTCTCTCATTCTTTTTTTTAGGAATGTGTGATGAGCAGAAATAACGTAGACTGTGACTTGGGCTCCTTTTATCTCTAAATTTTTTTCAAAGAGGTAATCTTATCAACTGATTTATAGAACTCATTTTTTTCCAAAGTGTTTAATTTTTTGTACAGATATTAAGTGTATGCCAATAAATTAAATATCTCAATAATGGTAGTAATAAATAAAGTGCTGGGATTACAGGCCTGAGCCATTGCACCCAGCCAAGGAACATTTGATTTTTAAATGACTATATATGTATTTGACAATGACTATATATATATATGTGTGTGTGTGTGTGTGTGTATGTGTGTGTATTGTATATATATATATACACACATGTGTGTGTGTGTTTGTGTGTATATATACACACACATATTAGCGACTTTGAACTTGTTGTGAAATCTCAATATGAAAAGGATAGAATAAGTCATGGAAAGCTGAAAGGTCTAGTTAAAAGAAGCCAAAGGACAAAGATACATGAATCTAGGCTTCAGGTACAAATTTGCATTAACTGTCCCTTAAAAAGGAACATGTATACACTCTGTTGCCAATTTCCTATCTGTAGACTTGGTTGCTATCTCACAGGTTGACTCCAGGTAAAATGTGTGAACTTCTAGAAAATATTAAAACCAGTCAAAAGTTAACTTTATTTCATACTTTCATTATATAAATATTTAGTTTATAGGTATACATCTGAAATCTGTACAAAAAAATTAAATACTTTGTGAAAAAAGTGAGCTCTATAAATCTAAGGCACAGCTGTCCGCTAATCATCCTATTTCCCAGGAAGGGATGCGATGTGGGATTTTTGTGCTTTGGATTAGGCCCAAAGTTTCTTTCTGGCTGTTTCTGGAAAGTCTGGGGCGGGGCATCACTTAACCTTCTTTAGCAGGTCACTTTTTCCTTTGTATCCTTCCTTCCCAATCATACAAAGTCCTATGAATGCAAGAAGAATATACAAGCAATACGTAGTTGCATAATTGTAGTTTGTTTTGATATTTTGTGCCCTTCTCAAAGGGAATGGAGAAATGACCAGGGACACACGTTCTCTGTTAGGCTAAGAGAGCACTCCTAGAACACGCTGACTGCTCCACAAATTGCTGACTGGTGAAGCTAAATTCTCTGATATGTGTAAAAACCTCCCTGGTTACTTAGTTGAAGGTAGACTGTTTAGCAGGATTTTGTTATAGTGATAAATTAACTTTTGCAATTTGATAAGTGAGAAGATACAAAAAAGATAATCTCTCCTAGTTAGTCTTTACCATAATTGGAAGTCAAAATCTTAGGTCCAAATTTTATCTTTTATAAATGTTAGTGCAGACATAAGGAAAACAAACAGCAATCACAACTTGAGATGCATTTTGCTTAAAATAAGAAACCCAAATTGCATGGGATGGGCAGCGTTAGGTTTAGATATAGATGGTCAGATGGTAATAACTTCAATGTTTGTAATAAAAAAGAATGTAATGATTAATAATTAATTAGCATTCTGTATTTTAACTGATAAAAGTGATTTTCTCTGTGTTTGTTTTACCCTTTTCTAAAATATTGTAATTATTTTTCTGGAAGCATATGCAAAGGAAAAGCTGTTTGAAAGAGAAAGGAATTTTCCAAGGAATATTTGATTTTTTTTTTTTTTTGCTGTTTTCTTGGGTTTTGAGACACAGGCTCACTCTGTTGCCAAGACTGGAATTCAGTGGCACAGTCTCGGGTCACTACAACCTCAACCTCCAATGTTCAAACTGTGCCCTGTGGCATAGGTTTTACAAACATACTTATCTTCATATTTGGTTGTGAAACCACTTGAGGGCCAGAGATGGAAGGGGTAGTGGGACATTGAGTAGTGAACATAAACTAGCCTGGACCCCTGAGACCCAGCATCACTAGCTGTTTGACCTTGGGCAGGGCAATTATCCTCTCTGGTCTTATTTCCTTCTTTGTGTCCAAAAACGAAGCTAATGATTCCTGTGAGGTATACCTCCCGGGGAGGGGGGGAGGTTTTAAAAAGATCAAAATGAATAATAAATGGGCCTTAAAAATCATTGAAATGGCAGAGATTTAGCTTTTAGCCAGTGGAAATGGTGTGAAATAAGAGCATCGGTTTGTGGAAATGGTGGGGATAATCGATAATAATGTTTGAACTGGATTTATGAGAGAATGGGTGGCACTGAGTAATTTTTTTACAAGTCCCAAGTAAATTCAGTCATAAAAGCACTCACTTAAAATGCTATACAAGTTTCTAAATGCTCTTATTTTTTTATTGCATATATTTAAGGTGAGAAACATAATGTTTTGATATTCATAGTGAAATAGCCACTGAGTATTTTTGAAATAGCTTCTTGTTCATGCAATGTGACTCAGTTTGCCGGGGTTCAAACCTCAGTTTGGCAGTTTATAAATTGTTTGCTCCCAGGCTTTACCTAACCCTCAGTTTTTCAACAATAAAATGAATATAATAAAAGTTACTATTTCCAAGAGTTGTGAGGATTTCAAAGAGTAAAGTGTGCATGCCTGGAACATAGCACCTAAAATTAATAATTCATAGTAATAGAAATGACATGATTGGAGGTGTGCTTTAGGAAGGTTGTGATGGTGTGGACTGAAAACTGGGGGCTGGTGAGGATGCCTAAAAGAGGGCAGTCAAGTGGGAGTTCAAAGAGATTTGGAGCCTTAGCCAGGAAGGGTCCAAGTGAGAGGTTAACTTGGGTACCAGCAGTGGGAATGTCAGGTGTCAGATACTTTAAAACCTTTTATAGGTGAGAAAAAAAGTGTGAAATAGGTGATTTTTAACTGTCCAAAAATTAAAGCTTGTCTTTTTTTTAAGGGTTTAGTTTAAAAAAGTTTGATGACGAAATTTGTAATGGTTTGTTTCAGACCAAAAATGCTATAAATACGCCAGATAATTCTAGCCTTCGCACCTGTTCAAACAGCAACAAAGATAAAGTGAACCAGAGGAAAGACCAACCCCTTCCTTTCCTTAATGAGGCCTCATTGATTTTTGCAAACAAATGAAAGACAATAAACTTCCCCAAATGCCTCTTTTTTCAAAGCCAGGCTGTGTTACTGACCTGAGTATTCCCAGAAGACTCAAGGCGTAAGGCCCCACAGCTGGATCATAAAATGTTTTTGCAGCTCTGAAGATATTCCTTAAGTCCCTTTGTTACCCCCAGAGCTTTGGGAGTTTGGGAATATATCCCATGGGCCCCAAGACTAACTTTTTTGTTTGTTGACTTCACAGGTCAATGACCAAAACCTCTAAAAATTCACAAAGAAGCTCATGAGGAGGTCAGAGGCTGCCCAAAAGGCATTTGGTCTGTGGTCCAGGAGCTCAGGACAGACCTAAGATTTAAGTGAGGTCTGGGCTGGAGTAACTCTTAGCAACCTGTCATTACCTACAGAGCACCGAGTTGGCTTCCTTCCCATGGCTTCTGTTTTGTATTTTCATCTCTGCCCAGAACTCTGTCATCTAGTGTTGCACTGTTCAGGGTGGGACCCACAAGCCAAAGTGACTGTTGAGTACTTGAAATGGGACTAACATTGAGATGTGCTGTAGATGTAAAATACATACCAGATTTTGAAGACTTAGTATTGAAAAAAAATCTGATTAATATTTGTTATGTTGATTATATTTTGAAATGATATTTTTGATATAGTAGGTTAAAATATTATTAAAATTAATTTTACTGTTTTTACTTTTTTGCTTGTGGCTACTAAAGAACTTAAAGCTACACATGGCTCACATCGTATTTCTGTTGGAAGGGCCATTTTAGTAGCTATGCCCTTAGTTTCCCAGATTCTCCCAGCAAATTCAAAGCAGTAATTCAGGAACATTGTGTTGAACACCCTGTGATTGAATATATAACCCTGTTGTTCACAGGATCTGATTGTATCATTTCTATTTACATTTGTCCTACAATTTGTGATTGTCTTGTAAATCTAATGCTAGTGCATTAGATTTGTTGAGTTCCATTTTATTTTAATAAAAGCTGAGGCCGGGCGCGGTGGCTCACACCTGTAATCCCAGCACTTTGGGAGGCCGAGGCGGGTGGATCACGAGGTCAAGAGGTCGAGACCATCCTGGTCAACATGGTGAAACCCCGTCTCTACTAAAAATACAAAAAATTAGCTGGGCACGGTGGCGCATGCCTGTAATCCCAGCTACTCAGGAGGCTGAGGCAGGAGAATTGCCTGAACCCAGGAGGTGGAGGTTGCAGTGAGCTGAGATCGTGCCATTGCACTCCAGCCTGGGTAACAAGAGCAAAACTCCGTCTCAAAAAAAAAAATAAATAAAATGAAAAATAAATATAAAAATAAAAGCTGATCAGACCAATTTAGGAATAGAATGGAAAAATAAATGCAGATGGGGAAAGGAAGGAAAATACACTGTGTTGGGAAATTTCTGTTCAAAACATCTCTTCAGGGTGTATATTATTTTCTCAGTTTTTGCAGAGAGAGAAACAATGGCTCAGAGAGGTTAAGTATGTGTTTAAAAGTATGTCAGAGGATTGAAAAGGTCTAGCAAACTCCAAAGCAGAAACTCATTTTTAGTATCTCAATGCCTCTCTATTACTGACAAATTTGAGATAATGAAGCTGCAGCAATCAATTTTGGAGATAGTTTTTTTTGTTTGTTTTTAATATATCCTTTAATAAATGTAAAGTATATAAACAAGTAAACCTGTATGGAGAAGCTGACAAAAATTCATAAATTAGGATTTACAGTGCTCTAATGTAAAAAAAAATGAATTTTCTATATTTTTTTGCAGAGTATTAATGTGTTTTAATGTACAATTTCTTATATGTCATTTGGAAGTCTCTTATTATAAAGATAATTCTTTTGTCTTATGACAAACAGCAGTCCACGTTGGATAAATTTGATTTCTTTTTGAGATATTCTTCTGAGGTAGTATTTTTCTTTTCTTTTCTTTCTTTTTTTTTTTTTTTCAGAGACGGAGTTTCGCTCTTGTTGCCCAGGCTGGAGTGCAATGGCGCGATCTCGGCTCACTGTAGCCTCCGCCTCCTGGGTTCAGGCAATTCTCCTGCCTCAGCCTCCTGAGTAGCAGGGATAACAGGCACGTGCCACTGTGCACAGCTAATTTTTTTTTCTATTTTAGTAGAGAAGGGGGTTTCACCATGTTGACCAGGATGGTCTCGACCTCTTGACCTCATGATCCACCCGCCTCGGCCTCCCAAAGTGCTGGGATTACAGGTGTGAGCCACCGCGCCTGGCCTCTGAGGTAGTGTTTTTCTTATCACTGTAGTGTTTGGCAGACCCTGATGTATAAGCAAAGCAGGTGATTTGCTTTTCTTAGAATCTGTTAAATTGAAGAGAAGTGAGATAATAGTCCTCCTGATCTCAAAGCTTCTGATGCATTGGGTTTAGACTGGTGTCTCTCTGTCTGGGAACTTTATTAATGGAGTATGTGACTTCAGTGCCTGAACCATCCTGCTGGCAGTTGCCGTTTTGCTACTCATCGTGATGCCTGAGAAGCTGGCGATGCTTCTATTAATGTCCGTATTTAAGATTTATGCTTGTAATGGTGTTTGTCAGATTACATGAACATTGATTAAAGTATATAGAATGAAGTTTATTCATGAGACATTTTATTTATAGAGACCATAATAGGTTTTTTTCTTGGATATCAATACATATTCCATGCACCCTCTTCTTTCTCTTTTGGTTGTGTGACCTTAAATAGACACTTCTGCAATGTGAAGTTAAAGATACTTATCTCATAGGGCTATCGGCCTAAGAGAAGGCTGCATGGGAGAAAGTGCTTTGCAAAACATAAACCTGCCAGAATTCTCCCTCCCCACATCCTCCTCCCATCCCTAGAATGAGCTTAAGACAATGATTTCACTTTGCTCTGCCATACATTTATATTGTATTTCCAAGCATTTGGGACCATATTCCCTCTCTGTGAATAAGATACAATATGAAAGAGCCAGAAATTATAAGGACCTTTTGGATCACAGAGTTCATTGCTGTCTGAACACAGACCACTGTTTGGAAACTGCAGAATAGTTTTATTAAGTTTCCCTTTAATAATCCATTCCAGCCTCTTTGATGTTTTTACTTAGCAAGTTTTTGCCTAAGCTAACCTAAAATTTTCCCATTAATAACTCTCGATGAGAATGGGAGAGATATTGAAAGACTATTTTCATCTCATAGCTTTCTTTTCTCTACACTGAGTAATCCTTTGACCTTTACTCTCTTTTCTTCATATTCACTGCTCTCACCTGAAACTCATTTACATGAATTTTTCACTTAACTGGTTCTTGGTAATTAAGTATGTACAGATTATGATTATAGATAAAGTGATGCATTGATATTGTTATTTTAGAAAGATTTCCTCTAAAGACAGTGTTTGTTTCTTTAAGCTACACCACAGGAGAATAATTTAAGGAATTTGGGGATAATAATCAAATTTTTTTGCTTGTTGCTGTTCACTTGGTTAATTTCCTATTCTAACATTCAAGACTAAAAGTAAGACAAAGCGTGGTGGAGCAGGAGGGCCAGCAGAAAACATGTCATTTGTTGCTTAGGGCATGACACAGAGTCAATGCAGTACACAGGTAGTGGGGAAACTAAGCTGAAGCAATCAAAGTATTGCATTAGGTCACTTAGGCTATTAGGGCTTCACTCATGCAAACTTACTCTCACTACTGAGGTTGGAGGCATTACTAGAGTGAAACATCAATAACCAGAAGACAAAATGGAGGGGAAAATGGAGGAAAAATAGTGAAATACCTTTCTCTATTTATCTGTAGAACCCACTGTCAAAACACATTTCCTGTTCTTCCAGTCCATTTGTTTAGAGATTGCAGGTCAAAAGGAAGGAATGTTCCCACCAGCGGACACAGCAATGGTTCAATTGAACCACAAGTTGAGATGGGGAAAAGGAAGGAGTAACCAGGAGCCACCTGCTTCCTCAGGGTTCCTCATGACACTGAAACAGTATGTCAAGAAATAGTTATGCTTTGGCTGAGGAGATTGATCCTGATATCATGAGAATATTGTGCTGGTTGGACACAGTGGCACCAGGGATGAACATTCTAGGAATCTGGAAGATTCTTTTGATGGGCCTCTCAGTTTTCTCATGTCTATGGCACAGCAAAGTAGGAGTAGAATTGCTAATGACACAAACCCTTCAGGAATAAAGATGTGGTTACCATATCAGACAAAGAACTAGGACTGGCTGAAGTTCTTGCTAAGTTTCAAAATAATTTACAATAATAATGGAAGAAGGCTATTATAAATACCATCTAACCCATGTGAGTTGTTTCATTAACAGGGATAGTAAAAGTCATGTAAATGTATTTTTCTCCTGTTTGGCTTTGAATATATTTATGTACATTTTCCTCTGCTCAATTCCCAAATAATATAAACTATTATGTGTTAATAAAATTTAGACTTGTATCTCAGTATTTGCCTATATGATATCAAATGTAGAGACTGAATCATCTAGAAAAGAAATAAGCCTCACCCTGAGATGCATAAAATGGTATGCGACTTCATGTTTCACCTTTTGTGGAAGTCAGTGAATCTTCAGCTGAATAAAGGATAATTGCAACATATTAGGTGAAAACATAATATTATTACTTTATTTGAAATTCAAATATGAGTAAAGGGATATTTGTGGATGTTGACTTGACTCAACCACCAAGTGTTCTAAGGCTGGTAACTACATTTCTCTGAATTTTCTTTCATGGGTGGCATAAAGATTGTCAGTGAGAACTACTGAGATATTTGGAAATTTGAGGTAAAGCATAAGCCACTATTCTTGGAAGGACATGGTAGCCAGATGTAGTGGCTCTGCAGACCTTTCCATGAGCTCCACTTTCCACCTGCAACTGTCAGTCATGCTAGCATCACAGATCTCTCCATGAGCTCTTCCTCCACAGGCATGACCTTCAGATGTGGTAGCTTCTTGACTTTCTCAGTGACTGTGGCTTGGCAAGCTCCTGCAATGCCATGGGCTCAAGTCACAAGTAATTGCGTCTCTGATGTTCTGTCTGGAGCCTTTCAGGTGTTAGTTGCCTATCCCTTCTCGTATTCACAAAATCTGTAACTACTATATTATTTATACCACTTTATTCTGAACATTTGTAACAGCTCTAGTTCCCTAATTGAACCCAGACAAAGATACTTTGTAATCAGGTGATTATTATTTTGTCTTTTTGATTCCTTCTATTTTAATTCTCATAAATCATGGGGCTTAATATTATAATCATTATGCTTACGATGCATTTATGTAGTATTTGAAAATAAGGAGATACATGCTATTTTTGGCTGCTAGAACATTGACCTGGAAATATTTTGAAACAAACTCATTAAAATAATGCTAACAGTTAACCTCTTATGGCTCTTAGTGAGTTATATTTTCCTTGTATTGAAAAAACAATAATGGACACATACCAACATTTTATACTCATAGAATTTACTTCTTGGTAAGAGGATGTTCAGTAGGTGGTAGTCCACTCAGGGTGACACAAAACATCTGCATGAACACTGAACAAATCAGCCATGATCTGAATGTTTG